CTTGGTTAGAAGAGGTCTCGGATTTGAGGGAAGCTGGACCTTTCCTGGAAGAGTTACTGCTGCTTTTCGTTTCGGTGGCTCCTGGTTCCCTTGCAGCAAAGCCGGGAAGCACCGTGGTGAAGGTGCCACGGTTCTACCTTCCCGTGGCACCTTCGGGGTGCGAACGCGGGCGACCGTGGCGCGGCAGCCCTGCCTGCCCGAGGCAGCAGCATCCTCCCTGCCTCCAGAAACGCTGCAGAACAGCACGAGCAGCGCAGCGCTTTGGCAAGCGCCGTGTCGGGCTGCACCCAGCTTGAGCTTCCCCCTTGGCCTCTCTGGTGCGGAGATGATGGCAGAGGGAGCAAACCACAACTGCTCTCACCCTGCAGAGCCAGCAGGCTGGCCCCGAGGGCTGGTAAATACCCAGAGATGTGTGAGCTCTTCCTCTTAGCGGAAGAGGAGGACAGAGGCTTAATGAGCTCACCGAGGTCCCAGTTATTTGCAAGGCTTGTACGTAACCTGTTGCTGCTTTAGCAGAAGGGCAGTTGGAGAGGTGACAGCCTCCTCGCATGTCCTAACCTTGCTGCTTCACCCCAGCTTCTGCTCGCAAGTGCTCTCTCCTTTAAGATGTGTCCATAGATGGTGAAATGCCCACTTTATTGGACAGAAATAGGACTGTGTAAGCACAAGAAGGTCTGGCCTTCAGTTTGTCACCCAGGCTCCTGCAGTCCCTTCACCGTGTGGTTTCAGTGCTGTTTTCTCATGGACTCTTCCTCCATGTCCTCCCCAGTCACAGCAAGCGCGTTTTCCTCTTTGGACGTATCGATCTTGTCCAGGCTCTGCCTCCTCTTGGGTGTTCCACATGAGCACTCTCCCCAGGAAGCTTCCTTGGGTAAAATGAGATGAGAAAACAAGAAAGATTTTGGCAAACTGGATGCTGTTTACTCCCTCATTGAAGTAATTCAAGTAGTCACTTCTAATTTTTATTTATTTTTCCCTTTTCAATGCAGATGTCCTTTGCATGCTGCCTGTGCTACGCACTGCCAATGTTTTCATTGGCAATGGGGGCTTGTGTTGCTGCAGCTGTTTCTGGGACTCTGTGCAGAGGAATAACCCACGTCTTTCTGTGGGTATCAAACTTCATTTGTGCCAAACTCCCCATTTCTTCCCAGTGTCCTGGGGGCCAGCAAGGCCCTGCTCTCCCAGTGGGCTGGGGGCTGGCCCAGGGCTGCTTCCGTTTGGAGATACCTGTTAGGAGGCTTTTTGGGGAAGGCTGCTCTAGTTTGCTTGTCCTGTGGAGGTGTGTTCGCTTGAAAGATTGGGGAGCATTTCTTTTTTATCAGTAATCTGGTTTTCCAGCCTTATAAGCCAAACTGGCATCTTGCAAAGGTCATAAATGTGCAACGTTTTTGTTGGCAGGGTCTTCTGTTCCTGCCCCCAGAACCAAAGATGCCTCTGAAGTCAAAGGGCACCAGATCTCTGGGAATGATGACTCGGGCTTTACTCATGGCCGGGCCCTTCAGCTCGGCGCTGCCGCCCGGCTCGCACCCGGTAAGTGGGCACTTATCTCCCAAGCACTTGTCCTCCCACCTTCTCCTACCTCTGTTCTCATCAGCCACTTCCTTTGTTTTAATCTCTGTGGGGATGTGCTCTGTGGTGATTCATTTCTTATGCATTTCATAGCTTTTAAGTTCATCCAGTCTACCAAAAAAAAAAAAAAAAAGATACTCAATTTCCTGTTTTAAAGACTGGATCTCCATGGAAAGGGCTTGCAGCCTTTTCTCCAGAAAAGTCTGGGTAGTATATGCAGTTAGTTAATCAGGACCAAGTTTTGGAGAAAATGCCGCTTACGTCCCCAGGGGTCGGGGGCCTTGGGGAACAGGGCACTGAGGGTAGTGCCGAGGTGTGAACTGCTTATCCAGAACATCTCCAAAATGCGCCAAGAAAAGGACCTAGGACCTCCTGGGCAGGGGATTATTGGGATTATTTGTTCTTCAGAGGGTTTTCTTCAGGTCTTTTGGGGCTACTTCCTTTCAGTGTGCAGCTTTGCTGACTGTGGCTCAGAACCTCCTCCTCGTATTTTCACTGGAGCAGTAGCACTTGTAGCGTTGCAGCCTCAGGGGAGCAATAGGACCCCGTTACGTGGAGGGAGAGCTTGGACAATGCTCGTTGGTGGTAGTGGTGTTTTTTTTTTTTTTTTTTTTTTTGCATTAGATTTTTGTATAGTATAGAGCATGCTCCACTATCAAGCTAGCTAGAGGTGTGCCATATATATACAGACACACACACATATGTATATACACACACACACATATGCTTTCGGTTTGGGCAGTCTTTGTACAGAGCCCTGTCTTTGACAGGACAGGAGAGCTGTCTTTAAGATAAATGATTTGGGGAATGGTGAAAGACAGGTCTCACAATGAGCTTTCAGCTCAATCTTGTAACTACTTCTGCTGCATAACTGGGACAGCAGATGGAACAAACTGCCCTTAGGAGCAGGCCTGCAGCTGCAACCTAGTGGGGTCTTCCCTACGCAAAAACACCAAGGGGCAGGGATTGCATGTTTTTGCTAAAGTGATGATAAATGCAGCAGAACATTTACTACCTAGGAAGTTCCAGAAGCTCCTTTGATGCTCATCTCCAGAGAAGTTTGTATATAGTTTGTTTAATAAGGAAGAGGAGACTTGAGCAGGTTAGGCAGAGGGCCGCACAGTTTGCCTGTGCCCGCGGTGCGGCGAGAGGGAGACCTGCATTAGTGCTGTTTGTGAACAGAGTGAATCTAAGGTGCGTGTGATTTACTTGATTTTTTTTTTTTTAAATATAATTGTTTTTCCTGCCAAGCAGACTGGAAGAAGCTAGACCTAGAACACCATGTCCAATGTTTAACTGACCTTCATCTGGTAAGTGCCTAATCCTTACAGGAAATACAAATGCATTCAAAAGCTTTAAGGAAAGTTTTCTATTTGTTGCTTTTTGTTTTTTTTTTCATTTCTCTTGTGGGTTTTTTTTTTTTTTCCTCCTTTCTTGCTTCCCCATTGGGGAAGGAGCATGTAGGTATCAGTTTGGTGTAAGCAGCAGCCCTTAAAAAACAGACAGTGCTAGTTAGGCTTGTTTTACCTCATTGTCTCTTCTCACCCCTTTTGAAAGTTATTTTTAACTTAGTTATAAAAGTAATTTATAAAGATCTTAATACTTCCAAAAGCTTTATTTTTTTATTATTTATTTGTTCTTCTCTTTCTAAATTGCTTTCTGTTTGTTCAAAACCAACTCTGTTTTGCCTGCAGTCTGTCATTCTACCTGTTGTAGAGGTGAGGTTACAGGGGACGGGTGGCCCTTTCGCTCGGGACGGGTGGCACCACCCAGCACGGAGCCGGGGTTCCCGCGTGGCACGGGCTGGTTCCGCTGGTAAACGGCAGCTCTTAATGTTGATGCTCTTGTTGTCCAGATGTTGATGCCCTGTTGCCTGCAGGGAGGCAGAGGGTACCTGAAGGCCACTCCGTGCCAGCGAAACCCGGCCCGCTCTGGAGGGGAGCAGAGCCGGGGGCTCTGCTGCTTCGCATGGAAAACTCTGCAAGGCTTTAATAAGCAGAATGGTCAGTCCCAGGGGGTTCATATGGTAATGCCTTTCTGGTGACTTTTATGTATATAAAACATCTATTTGTTCATTTTTTAATATTTATACTTCTGTATTCCAATTTATATTTTATATATTGGAAATGGAAATTAAAGGAGTACATTTCATGTTCGGCAGGAGGTATTGCTGGGAGCAAATATGATCCTTATAGGCTACGAAAATTTAACTGTTAACTAAATCTGTTTGAGGAAATAAAGTACTTGGTGCGTGAAGTCTGGATTAAACCAGAGTTAACTGCAACTATTACTCCCATAACTGCCCTTTTTTACCGTTTTTAGAAAAATGAAGGAAGTGGAAAGTAAGCTGGAGGCCCTGCTCCATTTCTGTACAAGGATCGTGGGTTTGCCAGCCCAGCCATGCTACCTTGCACCATCCCAGCTGGAGCTAAAGGTGAATGTGTTCCACCTTTTTTTTTTTTAATGATGAACTTTGTAGCAATCTTAAAAGGCAACGAGAACCTTTATTTTGAGTATTTTCAATGTATTGACATTGTCCTTTTAAGAAAACTTAATTGTAAAACACTTAAGATATTGTATAGAAAATACACATAGGAAAATATATATACACTTCCATAAAAATAGAATACATCTTAGCAAAATTACTTGTGTACAGTGTATTGACATTACTGAACCAATATTGCTACATCTTTGGAAAAAAAAAAGTTCTATTTGCATAAAAACAAACAAAGAGACATCCCCAAAACATTTTAACAGAATTGGGAGTATTGAAATGGATATGGTTTTGAGCTAAATAAATGGCTATACCAGAATGTCTGAGGAAAAAAAGAGTTATAAAATATCTGCCATGTAAAGCAAAAGTAGCCATGATGTTGTTTTTAGGTAATGCCTAAACTTGCAAAGAAAATCAAATGCACCTATTCCAATTTCTGCTTTAGATTCTCCATCTGAAAACACACTTCACTAACATAATCTGTGATCTAAGCAATATGGTATTTCTTTCTCTGACCTCATGACACAGTATATGCACAGCCCTAATTCTATCAGGTTATTTGGTAAGGAAAAAAAATTAATAGATACAAAATTGCAAAACACTTAGCAACCTTTAAAATATGCAGACCACTTAAAATAGCTTTTTTTTTTTCCTTTTTTTTTTTCTTTTCCTGGTGAGGCTTTTCTTGAGCCTCTCTTAGCAGAGGCTGTTGCTCCTTAGTGCTTTATCCACTAAGGTTCCAGCTCGTGCTTCGACTTGTTCTGCAGCTTTTCAGAACCGGCTGCGGGAAGAGACTACTCCAGTGTAACAAACGCAGCAGGCGCTCCTCAAAGCCCTGGGCTTTTCCTCCCGGGATGGGGATCCCGGGAACACGCGGGCGGCGCAGAGTACGACCCCGTCTCTGGGGCCGAGGCGGCGGCGCGGCGGGCGCGCGGGGTCAGTAGGGGTAGGCGGCCACGGCGATGTAGACGATGAACGTGGTCTGGTACTCGATGGAGCCGCCGGCGCTGCGGGCCGAGGCGCGCACGCGCATGCGGTACGTGCGGGGCTCCCGCAGCGGCCGCGTGGTGAACACCACTCCTTTCAGGTTCTCGGCCCGCAGGGCGAAGGGGACGCCCGGGTCCTCGTCGGCCATCGCGAACGTCGTCCTCGGGTGCATGACCTGGTCTTGAGTGTAGGCAACCAGGCGGATTAAATCCTGCCCGGCGGCTATCCCGAAGGGCACGGAGACCAGCTTGTACTCCAGGGCGTACGTGCTCAGGGCGCATTCCAGGTCGTTGGCTGGGCAGTTTTTGAGGCAGAACCTAGGAATTAAAGGAATCCTTGAAGCAAGGGAGAGGAACGATACAGTAGAGGATTGGAATATAATTTAGAGGCTAAGCTCTTCCCTCCTGTATCCTGGTGCTGTCTGCAAATCAAGGTTTCTGTAAAAAGCAGCTCCTGCATTCCTTATGCGCTGCACCTTGCAAGCTGCAGCCCAGTTTCATGTTCCCTCTTTTTTTTTTAATATAAAGATACTGAATACTATGCTTGTCATTGAAGTCAATGGTAGCTTTTTTAAATAATCATATTCTTAAATATTAGAGATGACTGCTTTAATGTGTACTGGCAGCTCCATTTTATGTTAGACATTTCTTGTGTGTGCAAGACAATGAAGAACTTGGAATAAAAAAGGCAGAGGCAAATTTAATCAAAAAGTCAAAAATCCGTCACCTCTGTTAGCGTTGCTAATGTTGCTCATTAGTAATAGAGGCCAGGGAAAATTAACATTTTGGGTCAAATATCATTCCAGGTCAGACTGGACACAAAAGACACACTCTGCTATGAAATATGCCATTTACCTTGACACATTAAAAGATCAAAACAAATTTTTTTTCCTCCCAGATAAGGAAAAATTTGAGTAATCTGAAAAACAAAACTTACTGTGAACTGCTGTGTTACTTTCATAAGTTAAAATTGTACTTTAAATGCTTTCAAAGTAATAGTGAGCTAGGCCTTTGGAGAAGTAAATCAGAGAACTCGGATACAAAAGGAGCCCTGTAAATGGTAAGTGATTGACTCTGAAGTAGCAGAAAGAATCATGGAAGCTGCTGCCTGGGCTCCTTCCATAAGGGAATGTTCTCCCCATTCCCATTAACAGCACAAACTGCTGCCAGCCAGGCTGCTGGACAGGGCCCAGGGCCTCCTTGTCCTGCTGGTCAGGAACACCTAGCACTGCTCGTCCCAAAGCAACACTAACACTGACCTTTAGTGCATTCCCTTCTGCCGACCAAACTACTGACCCCAGTCAAACTTGGATAAAGTTTCTTCTGAGGAATACAGATCAAACCCGAATGTGGCAGGAAAAACAAGAGCCAGAAAGGGTTGAAAATCAGACGTACCCAGAAAGAGGATCGCGCTGGTAGCTTGGGGGACAAGGCGTGTCTATGCACTGGTAGCTTCCTCGCATGTTGAAACACACCTGGTTTGATCCACAGTGGATGTTCTGTTCAAGGCACTCATCAATGTCTGAATGTAAAGACATGGACAGAGTCAGGTGCTGGTACTGAGGTGAATTTGACGTTGTTAAAGGTTAGGCAGATCAGCAGAGCCAGGCTATACTACAGACCTCTGCAACAAGTGATTTTCCAGAAATCTCCCTTACAACCTGGACAGCAGCATAAGCCTCAGCTGCTTTTTAGTGAAAACTAATTAATTGAAATTGGTTTTGTGAATAAGTAAATCTGACAGTACTTTTTTTTTTTTTTTTTTGGATAAGGCAGGTTAAGGTCTGTATTGGTCCTAGAGCTGCTATCTACTTTCAGTGAGTTTAGTTATCTAATACTAAGGACACTTTAAAAAAAAGGAAGTCACAGTTGTCTAATTTGCTAATAGTTTTACAAACTGCTAAACTGAGCTACAAAATAAAATTGAAATTTTTAATTCCTGTATCTCAAAGCAGATTCAAAGAGGTAACATATATATGCAAGGAATATAACTTGTACCTTATTTATGTATCTTATTTATTCATAAATACATTTCTGAGCATTCAGCGAGATCTCTGTACCTTGACAGGTTTTGCCATTGGCCATGAGACGATAACCAGAGGGACAAGTGCACTGGTAACTCCCAAGAGTGTTTCTGCATTCGTGCTGACAGGCATCTCTGTTTTCACATTCATCAATATCTGGGGAAAAGGAACATGAGAAACACGAACATCAGCATTACTTGAACCTAGTTCTAAATCTTGTCTTTTGGACCCAAAGAACTTCCCTCCCTGCCACTTGTATAAAAGTGAATGGACAGAGGTGGTAGAAGTCAGGGAGATTTTCTTTTCTGATGGGGTTGAATGAAAAAGGCTAGCATGTCCTTTCATTACTTACCTGTTCCATTCCTTACAATTTTGTTTTTAATAATTAAACCCACCTCTGAGGGTTTGCTTATCCTCACCCCTTTTGATAGCAGCCATCATGTATATTCTGGCTGCATAGACCTGTCCTGTAATAACAGAGGTCTGGGAAGGAGGTGAAACAAGTGATGCACACAAATCTATGCAGGCAGTCCAAATAATCGTGCCCCCAAAAGCAAGCTGCCTGAAAAGAGGGCTTTAGATAATATATTTGAAAAATGCCCAGATTCTTTCCTCAGAGGGAGCCTTGACTTGGAAGAGTTTTCTTATGATTAATCCCTCCTCATGCAAAACTCCTCCTCCAAACTCATTTTTCTCATGCCCAGAGGCATGAGGAGCCTCTCATTAAGCTCAGTAGCTGGAGAGATTATCAATGAATGCTCTTAACATTAAAAATCTGCCTCTGAAACAGTGCAGTACCAGACCACTTAATATTGTCAAAGTAGACCAAAGACATTTAATCACAGCCCATAGGTAATTATAATTGCTGTCAAAATGTCTGTTGAAATGTTAGTTTCATGTACATGGATTAAGACTTGAATGATTAAGCAGGGGAAGGAAGGTTGAGGTAGTAGGGAGCAGAAACCTGACAGTAAGGACTAGAATACAAGAATTGCATAGATACGGCTGACAATTACCTACACATCTGGCATTTCTTGCCTCATAGCCTTCAGGACAAGTTTCTCTAAGGTTCCTTCTAGTCCTGGAGAAAGGTATTCTGCTGTTCCTATACTCTGAGAAGGAGCTGTAGAGATTTGAGGAGTGCCTGTAATACTGTTGAGGTTGATAGTTGTCTCTCAGAGGGGAGAACTGAGCATAGCTATAGCTATGGTGATAGGCACCGTAATGGGGCAATCTCTCCAGTCCAGCGCAGGACTTGCCATCACCTAATAATTGTTGTCCAGGTGGACAGACACACTTGAAGCTGCCGGGGCTGTTGGTGCATTGAAATGCACAGGGCTTGGGCACTTGTTCACATTCATTAATGTCTGCTCATGTGACATGATCCAGAGCAACCAACCATGTGGAAAGGAGAAAGAAAAAAACAACACATAACTATATGTATAGATATATGTATGTATCTAGCTCAGTCTGTGGAACAAACTCAGGACATAACTGAGGTCCTGAGGGCAGTAAAATAGGCAGAACCCCGAGCCAAGCAGGCAGTTTGTGCTGCCTTGTATCATAACAGCAATATCCCTTGATTCTCCCCACACAGACATGAAATACTGCTCACGGCACAAACCGTGAAGGGCTGCCTGGAAGAGGAGACGAGAGTCCTATGGAAGGTAAGACATGACTGTAAAGAGGGATCTCAATCTGCTCATCTACATTTTCAGAAATTGAGTGCAGTCTGCTTGTGGCTGAGCAGCTCCTGCATGGGTCTGTGTTACCAGCAAGATGCACTCAGAAAAGTAGGTGAAATTGAGGAGCCCAAGCTGTTCATTGCCACTTTAAAAAAACACACTTTTTTTTTGCTCTTGTTACAAGGAAGATAGGGAGGTCTTAATGCAGAGGCTTCCTGAGAAGGGTAATAAATTCTTCCAAACAGGTACTGAGAGAAAAGCAGCTGCACAGCTACTGCTATAGGCACTAGGCCAGGCTGGGGTCATTTTTCATCATCCACAATAACTTGACCAACCCCAGCATCAAACATTCACCCTTAAAACAACAACCATGGTCAACATGCAAGTACAATAAAGGGCTTAAGGATATCCTATACCGAGTGTCTTTAACTCAAAATGTAGTATGTGAAATATTGGTGGTATTTTAGGATTAGGTCTTTCTCCATAGACTATCTGGCTCTAGAAAAAAAAGAAGCAATCTATTCTGAGGTATTAATTGAGTTACCTGAGGCCCAACTGAAAACTTGAGCATATATGCTATTTCTTTTCAAAATTGCTTTCATTCTTTACTAAAAGAACTAGAACAAAGAAAAAGATGGCTAATTCCAAACAGGACTGCATTGCCTTCAAAACGACCAGAAATAACTGATATTAAGGTACATAGCATCTATTCATAGTATATTCACAAGACTTTCAAGAATAATTCAATAATAAAGGTTATTTTCATTATGACTTAATAAGGGTTTAATTATATTAGTGGAAACCACATATTTTTAATATTAGAATTCCAAAATGTCATTAAGTCATTGTTAAAATATTCTGTAACCCTGACAAATGGATGCAACCACTATGTTAAAAGTTATGCTGTTAAGTGATAATAATATACTAGACTTCCGTTTATTGAACTGCTTAATATTTTATGTTTTTGAATGTTTTAAAATTGTTTAATTGTTTAATATTGTTAATTAAATTTAATCTCTGGAGAGATGGAAATCCAGAGAACAGTTGGGATAATGTATGCAGGAGTAAGAATAGCAGAGCAGTACTGCAATTTGTACAAAACTTTGTAATTGTTATTTCACAAATACAATAAAACATCTTTTTTTTTTTAATGTTAATATTATTGTAATGTTACCCCAGAGAACTTTGTTGTTAATGAGCTAAGAACTAATGTGACTTTTAGTTTATATTCCTTCACTGTGTGCTTAAGCTGAAAAAGATACTATGAATATTAAGTTACTGAGTGTAACAACAGCGTAAAAGAATAGAGCATTTTCCTTTGCACTCAATGAATTGCTGCATTCAGCATTGTTCACCTGCGTAATACAGACAGCAGGAGCATGCCCCAAATCTGATCCTTAGAATACCCTGCCTCTCTTTAACAAGACAGGGAGAAGCGCTATAAGCCTCCTAAGCACGTGCCAAATGCCGTGACCTGGTCTGCAGAAGCAGCCCCTGCTCCAGGGGCCAAGCCCCACGCGGCCGGCCCTTGCACTGCACCAGCCCCTGCCTGCGGCTGGCTGATTGATTTTTTGGGAGAACACCTGAACAGCAGAAATAGTGAAGACAAGAGCAAAGGGTAACAAGTTGGAAACTCCAAAATACCTCAATTTTCTTGCTGTATTTGAAGAATTGTTTTTGACTTTAGATTAGACAGCCTTGTATGTATGCTATGTAAAATGCATTATTTTTATATATAGCATTTTACTTATGATATGGAATGTTTAAATGTTTTATACATGGATATATTGTGATTTGGGAAATGTGAAATAGTGTAATTTATACTATAATTTACTTAAAGGGGCACGCACAGCTTGGTGTGGCTGTTGTGACAGCAACGCATCACTTTGTCCTGCTGTAGCAGACAGCGAGTTGTGGCCCAGAGGGCTCCTGTGCACACAGTAACAAGGCACAGAGCAGCCGTGCGGTTGTGGCTGCGAAGGAGACGCTGCGGTTATGGAGGGGCCCGCGCGTGGCGGCACCTTACCCACGCAGGCGCTGCCCACGGCCGGCGAGCGGAGCCCCCGCGGACACGCGCAGCGGTAGCTGCCCCGCGTGTTCTCGCAGAGCTGGTTGTAGTGGCAGCCGTGCGTCCCCTCCTGGCACTCGTCGATGTCTGCGAGCGGCACCAACAGGAGAGAGGAGGGCAGATGGACATGGACAACAGTTACAGTTTACACATCCTAAGGTGCAATGAAGGTTTGTGTGTGTGGGGTGAATTCATGGGAAAAGGGAGGGACTTGGCGTGTAAAGTGCAGGAGTGATGGAGTCTCGGGGTAGACTGGGCCTCTGCTGCTACCCCTTTCTCACCTAATGGCACTATCGGACACTAGTCTCTAAAATACTGTTAGGTAAAATCAAGGGTGAGCAGATGTACAGACACGTCTTAGAACTTAAGGGCATTTACACGTGCCTTTTCCAACTTTTGACGTGAATTTTTCCAGTTCTCTCAGCTAATCTTTCCAAAGAGATATAATACATCTCTTTTTAATGTGATATGATAAAGAAGTGAAAATTTGGTAGTAGGCAGGGCAGTCTTGATTCAGGTTCTTGATTCAGAACTCCTGAGACAAAACTCTTCATAAAACATTGACAGTGGGGACAAATAGTGAAGTCAATAATGAATTTATTGAATTAGGGTGAGGAGGAGATAATGGAAAAAAAACATTTTTCTTGTTTCTTAGGAGCAACGGATAAACCAGACTTATAAAAGTCAAACATGTATGCTCCTGTAAGTGAAATAATGACATAAGCGTGGTACTGCTTGATGACTAGATAGGGACTGGTACAAAGCAGTAGTTTTTGTTGCTAGTGTTTTGGTAAAATATTGATCAGTGCCTTAAGGATTCTGCTAGAACAGGCCCTGCCTACTTACCAACACAGGTTCCGTTTTCTGTCTTGGTCATTCCCTTTGGACACAGATCGATGCACCTGTAGCCCCCACGGGTGTTTTTGCAGAACTGATCAGCTCTGCAGACGTTCTGCCTGCATTCATTTATGTCTTAGTTAAGAAAACAAAGCAAAGGAAAACAAGAATGAACTTGCATCCTTAGACTCCATTCCTAATCCTGCTGACATTCAAACACAACTTCACAAACTAAACTGCAGAGGCAGTGCAATCCCTAATGGCTGTGCAGTCCCCGAGGTTTCGGCCAAAGGTCGACCCCTTTCCCTCAGGCCCGGTTCCCTACCTGAGCATCTCCTGCCCCGGAGCTGGAAGCCCGGCTCGCAGGCGCAGCGGAAGCTGCCGATGGTGTTGAAGCAGTGCTGGGGGCATGAGCCTGGCTCCTCACACTCGTTAATGTCTGTTAAATAACAATAAAATGTAAGAGGGGTCGGGAACAAGCAGGGCCACGCGCACATGACAGCACTAGGCTGAGGCAAGAGCTGGGGCTGGACACAAACCCCAGTTCCAGGCACCAGAGTCCTGTCCCTGCAGCAGCAGCTGGGACAGAAAGGTAAGTGGGGAAAATAGAGCAAGTGGGAAAAGCGGGAGACAGAGAGAGTAGGAGTGGATAAGGCAGTGGAAAGAGCAGAAAGGGAGGACAAAGGGGGATGAGGGGGAAAGAGGGGGCTGAAGGGGGAGGATAAAGGGGAAGGGAGCAGACAAAGGGGAGATTTACCCC